AATAAGTAAAATCCAGTCACAACTCGATGAAATGAGATTTGATTCATGAGAAGTCGAATCTTTTGCTGAAGTCGAATCTTTAGCTAAAGCAGATAGAACAGGCAGCACCTACCTACAACAGTGGGCTCGAGATCGACAAAGACAGCCCTGGGTACGTGTTTTCCAGATCCAGTTTCACTGAAGAAAGTGTTGAAGGAATCATCACCACCTCCAATGGTCTTGTCACTTGGCATTTGTCCATCAGGCTGAATACCGTGTTCCAAGCAGTACAATTCCCAGCATGCATTACCCATCTGCACACCGGCTTGACCAATGTGGATGGATAAACATTCACGCTGCAAAAATAAATTTTATTACTTATTTATTTATTCATTTCACGCTGTAGAAGAAAAGCAACGAAAAGATTACAAAGTAACGATGAACGGGCACACCTTTTGTTTTCAATCAAGGCCTAAGGCCATATTGATTCTTGCATCAAAGAAAGAAGCGAGATTAGTAAACCTAATTGATAAATTAAGAAAGTTTCTCCTTCATTGGTTGGAAAATCAATGCATTGTATAAAATATGGTCATAACGGGCTATAAGCATAAATGTATGAATTTATTATTCAAAGGACTAGTGCATAATAAATCGGGTTAGAATCTTCATTTGCAAGAAACCAGGTACCAACGTACAGGAAAAGTATTCTATACATCTATCTGCGGGGGTGGGGGGGGGGGGGGGGTAATTGGAAATTCTTAAAGCAGAGTGGTGTATAGAATATTTTTCCTGAAAAACATATGAAAATACAGGTCACACACACACAACAGTCTTCTGAAGCATCTCAAATATTTTACTACTACAGCAAATATTGGTTGCTAATCTACAGGAGAAAAAGGGTTGAAGAAATTATATACACTTCTGAAGGAGGGGTGGAGCTACATCTTGTCGTTTTAGTTTAGCCACAGCAACGTTCAATTCAATTCAATTGCTGTGCATTTGCTCGCCAGAACGTTATTGTTAGCTGCTGATTCCAATACGGTTTCAATCGCCAAAAAGATGCAACAAAAGAGATGCGTCAAGGTCATCTGATTCAGCCAAGTACTCAGCGTTATGAAATATATAAATAAACAAGTATGCATAGAATCTTCGTTATTTAAAGTTTGGCTTTGGTCTAGCTATGATAACTAACGCCAACAAATATTTAAATACATGTTAAAAACAAAATGGGCTCACAAGGATCAGCCTGAAGTAACAGAAACCTTGCATTCTCGACATATCACCTTAACAATCTACAGAAACCTCGTGGTTTTTTATATTCCTTTTGAAACCATTCAAAATCAGACACCCTGCATGCCATATCTTAGGCCCTAAAACACACATTTTCAACAGCATACCCTGTCGTGTTTTGCTTTGGTTTTGTATCTTTTTTGAAACTATCAAAAGTCAAAGATCTTGTTGCTGAGAAAAAGGGTCGAATGCCATATCTAAGGCCCAAAAAACATGCATTCTCAACAGCATACCCTGTTTTCATGCATTTTCAACAGGATACCCTGTCGTGTTTTGCTTTGGTTTTGCTAGTTTGAAATACGTGCAAGCGACTTTTGTCCCGCTTTCAGAACTTGCTTTGCTGTTTAGGTTACTTTTAGAAGCATACAATATGCTTTTGTTTTTTCTTCTTTTGGAAGTTTTCACTTTCTTGTCCCACTTGGTATTGTTTATTATTTTGTATGGAATGATAGATACACGTGGACAAATTTCTAGAATGTTCGATAGTAAATAATTGGTTGGAAACACGTACCAAGTATGATGTAATCGCTATCTTAATTTTGCAATAATGATGTACACTATAAAACGATGTTGTGCTCGTATTCAACGTCTGTGGCCGTATAGAATTGAGAGATAACTTCGTGGTGATGGGAAAATAGATACTGCTATTCTTTGCGAGCGTCGATGTGATTGGCGGATCGTATAGACCAATTCGACTTACAATTCGAAAAAATTTCAAATTATTTTGTACCAAATTTTTGACCTCAGATTCGGATTCCAAGCAATGATTTTAGCATACTTTGAAGTTTTCATTATGGTATTGCTCACGATATTGATTTTATGACGACAAAAAGATAAAAAATTTACAAGGGATTTGACCGTGATTGGCGACTAGGGGGGTAAAGTTCCCCCCCCCCCCCGAATGATTTTGGACGGTCAAATCCCTTACAAGTTTTCAAACTTCATTTCTCCGTTAAATCTAAAATACAAGCACAAACAATATGAAAAATTGTATCCGGCCTAAAATTATGGTGATAAAACCAAATCTGAGCTTTAGAAAGTCGTATAATTAGGTGAGGAGAAATTTTCAAAACGAGGCCGTAGGTCGAATTGGTTTATTGTTTGCGATAGCTGATCACATAAAAGATCACGTATAATTAAACAAGCTAAAATCTATGAAATCAATGAAATATACTTTATTATCAAAGGAAAGAAAATGAAAAAGGGAAAGGAAAGAAATTTTGTTAAATCGATGTTAAAGGATTCAGAGACGTTACTCTTATCAGGACCTGCTCAAGGAGGGTGCTCAGATTTCATCAGCCGAAAAATTGGGTGCACTGATAATTTTCTATCCTCGTCAAAAAAATTTTATCAAGCGATCTTCTATTTTGTACATACAGTTTAATCCCTAAAAAATCACCTTGATAAAAGTCGCGCCAGAAAAAAGTTGGACTTTCATTCAGTCAGACAATTTACATCCGCTTCGGAAGTGTGTCCTGTAGTTACTCAGTAAGTTATTTCAGGATTAATATTTTCAACATAAGTTTAACCTAGTTGATTTAATTCAAATTCAAACTATTGATTTAATTCTCATGGATCAAAAGCCAAAAACTAGAAAATACGATATATATAATAGAAGCTTCGTGTATTCCTCTCTTTGTTAATTTGAAACTCGCTCGCAGTTTACACTCTTTTTTTATAAGAACCGGTAAATTTGAGTTCAGCTGACTGTTCTTAATTTTTCCGAAAATCTGAGGCTGGATTGTTCTTAATTTGTTCTTAAATGTTTAGAGTATAAGCAGTGCGATTTCTAGCTTTTCGTTCTGGGGAGGTATTCAGGCCTCTTTTGCCAACAAAGTAACAAAGTGCGTAGAGACAAACTTAATTTGCCGCCATGTTTTAATGTTCACCGAAAAAGCACCCACACATGGTTAAATATCCTCGTTTTTGAGATAAAACGTTGTTCAAAATTTCATTTTACAGAAGCTCGGCCTCAGCTTGTTCTTAATTTGTTCTTAAATTTTGACCCATTTTGAGGCTTGTGTTCTTATAAAATTGTTCTTATAAAAAAAGAGTGTAATTTGAAAAAGCAAATCGCAGTTTTGACTCGATCAGCTTTACATTGGATGCCATAAATCTAGAAATCATGTTTACACAAATTAACGAAACTTGGCTTTTGGACCAAGTATTAAATATCCTACATGTAAGCTTTTAAAGTTGTGAGTTTGTCAGGTTAAAAATATTCCAAAAACCAATGGGAGGAAAACCTTTAAAGGGCTAATATCTCGAAATACGATGAAGACAAAATCCAACTGACGTAATGTCTCAGAATAAACTCATTCGAATCAATCTTATCTCATTTGAATCAATCTTAACTCATTCAAATTTCTCTGCCTTTGTTACGTCTGCAACTTTTTGCGAAAGCTCCAATACAGGGCGTTTATTGATGACGCTTCACGATATTCATCAAAAATTTTTCCACTCATTTAAATCAAAGTGCCGGCTCTTGCATTGACTCTTTTGGGGTGGTGGGTAGCATCATGAATTCACATAACATATGCCTCACTAAATTTACGTATCACATGTCGCACAATCGTACAATATGACCCCCCGTACTTTTCCGTGACACCTTATTGGCCATATTTTCGTGCGTAAAATCGTGAAATCTCGATTTTTTATGCGTGATTTTGTGAATGAAGATTCCTACGTGAAGCGTGAAACATGAGTTTTTCTTGCGCTATGTCGTGAAAAGCCTTTAACTATCCGTGAATTCGTGAATGAAATTTTGAATGATACGCTCTATCATTTTAAGGCTACAATTTGATTGATGGGTTCATGCCTTAGCGAATTTTCCAAAAACCACCAGTCTCACGAATATCACAAATTTGACTACTTTAGATCACGCCATCAAAATTTGATTGTGTTGGATCCCTGTCTTAATATGCCTAATGTGTGACATGCGTACTTAATGTGTGAATCAGGATTTCTTTTGCGACTCGCTAGAAATTTGTGTGAGTTGATTTTTTCCGCATGAATCGATTTGTTTCACTGGAATCAGTCTCGTCTGTATGCGAATCAGTTTAAATTGAGAGCGTGGCTACAGAATACAATTAGAACATTATCAAAAGATCGCAACTTCTCCTATGACACATGGTACCTTGACACAAGTGACGCAACACAATTGATTTTCAAAAACATAGTACGTTGTATCCAATGGAATTTGCCTAGTACGCAGAAGTACGGTATAACTGAAAGAACCTTATAACGGGATTAACTTAATTTCTCTTTCAAGCCCCCACAATTTATCACGACCACAAAAAACAATAAGCTCATCTGGGGCCTGAAAAAAATTAACGGTATACCGAATCCGAAAATCTCCATCCAAATCGAGAATATGCATCCACAGTTCAAGCTAACCTTCTCTTTTTGCAACATGTCTTATTACTGTAATCAAATGCATTATAACATAATATTTACTGAGAACAAATACTTCGTAGTTTTGGCAAACTCAAGCTCCAAAAGATCTTTTCATATAACATATCCAAAATTTAGTAGCTTTGGAATGCTTACGATCAAATACCTCTCATCTAAAACATTTCAAGCTCTCAAACTGCTGAAATGCATTCAAACACTATTCTTACAACTATCCTAATCTTTCAACAATATACTTTTAGGATTCAGTAACCTCAAATTACCTTTCCATGCTGACTACAAAAGTGATGAAAGAATAGAAACAAGAAACAGGAGAAAGATTCAAACTTTCTGTGTCTGTATGTGAAATCAAAACGATGCATTTAAAAAATCTCTACACTTGAAATTTATCAAAGCAAACTACTGATGTTCAATCATATAGGAGAATCTAATATTCGTCTCCTTCCTCTTCTCCTTCTGCATCAACAGAGTCAACTCCAACTTCTTCATAGTCCTTCTCAAGGGCAGCCAAATCTTCTCTTGCTTCAGAAAATTCACCTTCTTCCATACCTTCTCCTACATACCAATGCACAAAGGCACGCTTGGCATACATCAGATCAAACTTGTGATCAAGCCTTGCCCATGCCTCAGCAATTGCAGTTGTGTTGCTCAACATGCACAATGCTCTTTGTACTTTGGCCAAATCACCTCCTGGCACAACTGTTGGTGGCTGATAGTTGATGCCAACCTTGAAGCCAGTTGGGCACCAGTCCACAAACTGGATGGTCCTCTTTGTTTTAATTGTTGCAATGGCTGCATTCACATCCTTTGGCACAACATCACCACGGTACAGCAAGCAACATGCCATGTATTTGCCATGACGTGGGTCACATTTCACCATCTGATTAGCGGGCTCAAAGCAGGCATTGGTGATTTCAGCAACAGTCAACTGCTCGTGGTATGCCTTCTCAGCAGAGATCACAGGAGCATAGGTGGCCAATGGGAAGTGGATACGTGGGTATGGCACCAAGTTGGTCTGGAACTCAGTCAAGTCAACATTCAATGCACCATCAAATCTCAAAGATACAGTGATGGAAGACACAATCTGGCCAATCAACCTGTTCAAGTTGGTGTAAGTTGGTCTCTCAATGTCCAGGTTTCTTCTGCAGATGTCATAGAGCGCCTCGTTGTCTACCATGAAAGCACAGTCTGAGTGCTCTAGGGTAGTGTGAGTGGTTAGAATGGAGTTGTATGGCTCAACAACAGCTGTTGAAATCTGGGGTGCTGGATAGATGGCAAACTCCAGTTTTGACTTTTTGCCGTAATCAACTGAGAGACGTTCCATGAGAAGGGAAGAGAATCCAGAGCCAGTACCACCACCAAAGGAGTGGAAGATTAGAAATCCTTGAAGACCAGTACACTGATCTGCCAATTTTCGGATTCTGTCCAGGACAAGGTCAATTATTTCCTTGCCAACGGTGTAGTGTCCACGAGCGTAGTTGTTGGCTGCGTCCTCCTTTCCAGTGATGAGTTGTTCTGGGTGGAACAGCTGTCTGTATGTGCCAGTTCTGACTTCATCTGAAAGGAAAGCAAGTAGGAAATAAGTTTTACAGACCAAGTAGCTTAGTAAAAATAAGTAAAATCCAGTCACAACTCGATGAAATGAGATTTGATTCATGAGAAGTCGAATCTTTTGCTGAAGTCGAATCTTTAGCTAAAGCAGATAGAACAGGCAGCACCTACCTACAACAGTGGGCTCGAGATCGACAAAGACAGCCCTGGGTACGTGTTTTCCAGATCCAGTTTCACTGAAGAAAGTGTTGAAGGAATCATCACCACCTCCAATGGTCTTGTCACTTGGCATTTGTCCATCAGGTTGAATACCGTGTTCTAAGCAGTACAATTCCCAGCATGCATTACCCATCTGCACACCGGCTTGACCAACGTGGATGGAAATACATTCACGCTGCAAAAATAAATCTTATTACTTATCTATTTATTTATTTTGAATTAATTATTTAATGGACAGAATTATTCATTTATTTATTCATTTATTTTACGCTGTAGAAGAGCAACCAAAAGATTACAAAGTAACGATGAACGGGCACACCTTTTGTTTTCAATTAAGGCCTAAGGCCATATTGATTCTTGCATCAAAGAAAGAAGAGAGATTAGTAAACCTAATTGATAATAGGCTGGTTTCTATAGATATCATACAAAGGGGCAGTGGAGGGGTAATTTTGAGGGAGAGATAAATGATTCGAAGATTTTCTTGAATAAAAATAAGCATAGAGGGGAGCAATTTCTGTAATTGGTTAGACAGCAAATCTGATAGCTTAGTCACCTTATGATTGAAAGATACGACAAATTAAGAAAGTTTCTCCTTCATTGGTTGGAAAATCAATGCATTGTATAAAATATGGTCATAACGGGCTTTAAGCATAAATGTTTGAATTTATTATTCAAAGAACTAGTGCATAATAAATCAGGTTAGAATCTTGATTTGAAAGAAACCAGCTACCAACGCACAGGAAAAGTATTCTATACATCTATCTGCGGGGGTGGGGGGGGGGGGGGGGTAATTGGAAATCCTTAAAGCAGAGTGGTGTATAGAATATTTTTCCTAAAATAAATAAATGAAAATACAGTTTTCAAGGGATTGAGCTTTTGAAATGTAATTGAATGCAAAGCAAGAATAAGTTGTGTCGAATAGAGTCATCTCCTAAATTTCATATTGAAAATGTTGTTCTCAAAGTATCGAACCGTTATTAATCTTAGGTAAGAGCTCACACAACAGTCTTCTGAAGCATCTCAAATATTTTACTACTACAGCAAATATTGGTTGCTAATCTACAGCAGAAAAGGGGTTGAAGAAATTATATAAACTTCATAAGCAGGGGTGGAGCTACATCTTGTCGTTTTAGTTTAGCCACAGCAACGTTCAATTCAATTCAATTGCTGTGCATTTGCTCGCCAGAACGTTATTGTTAGCTGCTGATTCCAATACGGTTTCAATCGCCAAAAAGATGCAACAAAAGAGATGCGTCAAGGTCATCTGATTCAGCCAAGTACTCAGCGTTATGAAATATATAAATAAACAAGTATGCATAGAATCTTCTTTATTTAAAGTTTGGCTTTGGTCTAGCTATGATAACTAACGCCAACAAACATTTAAATACATGTTAAAAACAAAATGGGATTGCAAGGATCAGCCTGAAGTAACAGAAACCTTGCATTCTCGACATATCACCTTAATAATCTACAGTTGCGAGGAAACCTCATGGTTTGTGATATTCCTTTTGAAACTATCCAATGTCAGAGACCCTCTTGCTGAGAACAGCAACACATGCCATATCTAAGGCCCAAAAAACCTGCATTCTCAACAGCATACCCTTTTTTCATGCATTTTAAACAGGATACCCTGTCGTGTTTTGCTTTGGTTTTGATAGTTTGAAATACGTGCAAATGACTTTTGTTCGCTTTCAGAACTTGCTTTGCTGTTTAGGTTACTTTTAGAAGCATACAATATGCTTTTGTTTTTTCTTCTTCTGGAAGTTTCCACTTTCTTCTCCCACTTGGTATTGTTTGTTATTATTTTGCATGGAATGATAGAGACAAGTGGAAAAGTTTCTAGAATGTTCGATAGTAAATAATTGGTTGGAAACACGTACCAAGTATGATGTAATCGCTATCTTAATTTTGCAATAATGATGTACACTATAAAACGATGCTGTGCTCATATTTAACGTCTGTGGTTGTATAGATTTGAGAGATCCTGTGCCAAACATTAATGATAAAATTTGTAAAAATCAGATGGAGACTCCACTAAGTTGGAAAAGTCACTTGAAAAAGCCAATGAACATTAAATTTTGATAATCAAACATAAAAAATGCAGCTTTTAGTGTCGTTGGAAAACTTTACAAGAGATAAGTGTTTTGAAGTCCAAAAGTTGCAAAAACAAAGAAGCGTTATCTTGAAATAAAAAAAGCTGACCTTAAACAGGTTTAAATCTATGAAATCAATGAAATGTACTTTATTATTGAAAAAAGGAAATCAAAAGGGCAAGTATTATTGAACGAAAAATATAAATTCTAATAAAAGGAAAGAAAATGGAAGCAACAGACATGCAAAGCAAGCTATAATAGAACATTGAAAATAGGGAAACCATGTTAACTCAATGTTAAAGGGTGCTCGGATCTCATTAGCCGACAAAGTGGGTGCACTATCCTTTTTGCCAACGAAGGACCCCTACAAAAACCCCTTGTTTTTTCAATGAAAATTTTTCTAAGGGAGTGTCACATCCCAACCGTAGCGATGGTTCTGACTCTGATTCGTAGAAAAAGGTCCAGCATCTTTCGTCTTGTCAAAGATTGACTAGGATGACTGAATATAGTCGCCTTGAATCCAAACAGACAACTATCTAAACAGCACTAACGGTATCTCGACATTGGGATGGCTTCAAATGAAGGAGGAAAGGTTACTCCTGAGATGGCCTTTTTGCATATTTATTGTGCGTGTCCTTTGAGCGATGAATTATGGTCAATACTTATACCAAAAGTTTCTGTTGTTTTTCTAGGTTTGATTTTCGTATTATTGTTTTTTTCAAAGATGTGTCATTGTTGCTTTTATCAAAATTTATTAGATGGCATTTGTCCCCATTCAGTTTCATATCATTATTTTGAAACTATTCTCTAATAAAAAGTACGTCTTGATCTAGTGTTTTAATAGCCTCCTTAATGTCTTGGTGGATGACATATAGAGTTGTATTATCAGCATAATTGCATATTTGGCTATTTGATATAAACATAAACATGTCATATATGTATATATATTGAACAAGAGAGATCCCAAAATTTGTCCTTGTGACACACCTTCACTCGTGGTTTTCCAGTCACTGAAAGCGCCGTTTATTTCGACTCTTTGTTTCCTCTAAGGTGGGATAATGTGAATTTCAAGGTGCTTCTACTAAAACCATAAGCATTGAGTTTAGCAACCATTAGGTCATGATTCCAACAATCAAATGTTTTGGACAGATCCATCAATAGTGCACTGACTGTGTGTTTAGTAGCTAGAGCCTTTTTGCAATTTTCTATGAGTCTGAGTAATGTATCTTGGGTGCTATAATTTCATCTGAAACCACATAGCAGTGGTGACAGAAAACCATGAGCGAAGGGAGTAATTTGTGATTCCATGATTCTCTCACATATATTTTTGACGCTGACGGTAAGGTAGCAATTGGTCTATAATTTTTTCTTACTGAATTTGTCATCTTTTTAGTGCAGTGGTGATGTCTCTATTTTTCAGTTGCTACGATGCATTATTGCCTTACGTAATTCTTTCATGATAAATGATCCGTCGTTTGCACGAACATACTTTATCTTAAAAGGTTTACTGGATCCGAAAATCTGCATCCAAATTAAGAATATGCATCTAAAGTTCAAAGTAACCTTCTCTTTCTGCAAAATTTCTTACCACTGTAATCAAATGCATTTCAACATTATCTTTACCGAGAACAAATACTTCTCAAATGATCATATCCTAAATTTTTCAGTTTTGGCAAACTTGATAAATGCATTCCTTGCTAGTTAGTGATCAATGTTCTACCGGTAGGAAATCGTTAAAAATTACTTCTGCACTGATTTCAAACTTGTTTTCATTCTAATGATCTCCAATCATCTTAGTTAAAGATCTATTTCTCTGATGTTTAGCTAAACACTAATGTTAAGATTCTGTTAGAAGGCATTCAGTGTATTGGCAGGCAGATAGTACACCTGCTGAACATCCTTATAAATATAGATAGAAAGGCCACTACCATATAAGGAAGCCTGTTGCTAACATTTGTACTTTAAGGTCCTTAAGAGACCGGAGGGAGAGATGCTTATTAATTTTTTTCTGACCTATTTGACCTATCTGACCCCAGAGCCTATTTGGAACCCCGGTTTATTAATTTTTGTATGCAGTTATTCATAACCCTTATTTTATTTGTCCTTTGACCTTGCAGGTGTGAAATTTCTGCAAAGTTTCTCTTAAACAAAGAGGTTGCATTGTACAAAAGTGTTAACATAGAAAAGGAGTGACATCCTAAAAAATTTCCATAGGCCTGGCTGATGTACACAATGATAATTAGCCTGCTCATTTTAGTAATACAACAATGCATTATTACATTGTGATAATTGTAATTTTGCTATCGACTGTATTCAGAAGAAAATCTCCTTTGACCTCAAACAAGAATCATCACGTGATTTTTCAGACTTTTCAAATTTCCGCCCCCCCCTAATTTATTTTCTGAAATTTTTTTGACCCCCCTCCCCAACTATCAAGACCTTCTATTAAGGATCTTAGAGTGAGTGTTTGAAACGAACATTTTGTTTTGATGTTTTTAAAAATGCCAGTCGGCCCTCAAATCTGCTTTTAAAAAAGGTTTATCGAAGCTCAAATAAATCAATTCAATTAACTGCCCCATTTTGAAAATTATCGTCCAGCTTTTGTGAATGAATTTTCCCTTGCTACACACTATGTAGAACTTTTGGGCTCAGATTAGTATTCAAAAGCATACATTTTGTCGGTCACTAATTTTCATCTTGGCGCTTGTATCATAGAGATTTATCTGCAAAAATTAATTCCACCTAAATTTTTTCACCATAGGTCCCTAATAACAGTTAAATTCTAAAAGCATTGAAAATTACTGTTCACCAGTCTATCATAAAGTGCTTGATGCCATGTAGGCAAAGCTGTTCTTGCCAGTGTCTTCCTTTTGAAAAAGCATTGGGCTTCTTATTTATTTCAAAGACCACACAATAGATATATTTGATAACATAAATTGCATATATATATATGTAATTTAAAAAGTAGCTTTGAAAAAAAGGAAACATTATATAAGATATTATGTAGTCATTTTCAAGTTCGGTACCGCAAAACTGTCCATAATTATGTGAAATACCAAAAGTTTTGAAGAACCATATCTTAAATTTAGTAGCTTTGGAATGCTTAAGATCAAATACCTGCTATCTAAAAACATTTTAAGCTCTTCAACCTAAATAACTCTTTGGACTGTCACAATCTTTCAACAATATGCTTTTAGGATTCAGTAACCTCAAAATACATTCCCATGCTGACTACAAAAGTGATGGAAAAAAGAAAAGACAAGAAGCAGGAGAAAGACTCAAAACTTTTTGTGTCTGTATCTGAAATCAGAAGAATGCATTTAAAAACCTCTACACTTGAAATTTATCAAAGCAAACTACTGATGTTCAATCTTATAGGAGAATCTAATATTCATCTCCTTCCTCTTCTCCTTCTGCATCAACAGAGTCAACTCCAACTTCTTCATAGTCCTTCTCAAGGGCAGCCAAATCTTCTCTTGCTTCTGAGAATTCACCTTCTTCCATACCTTCTCCTACATACCAATGCACAAAGGCACGCTTGGCATACATAAGATCAAACTTGTGATCAAGCCTTGCCCATGCCTCAGCAATTGCAGTTGTGTTGCTCAACATGCACACTGCTCTTTGAACCTTGGCCAAATCACCTCCTGGCACAACTGTTGGTGGCTGATAGTTGATGCCAACCTTGAAGCCAGTTGGGCACCAGTCCACAAACTGGATGGTCCTCTTTGTTTTGATTGTTGCAATGGCTGCATTCACATCCTTTGGCACAACATCACCACGGTACAACAAGCAACATGCCATGTATTTGCCATGACGTGGGTCACATTTCACCATCTGATTGGCTGGCTCAAAGCAGGCATTGGTGATTTCAGCAACAGTCAACTGCTCGTGGTATGCCTTCTCAGCAGAGATCACAGGAGCATAGGTGGCCAATGGGAAGTGGATACGTGGGTATGGCACCAAGTTGGTCTGGAACTCAGTCAAGTCAACATTCAATGCACCATCAAATCTCAGAGATGCAGTGATGGAAGACACAATCTGGCCAATCAACCTGTTCAAGTTGGTGTAAGTTGGTCTCTCAATATCAAGGTTTCTTCTGCAGATGTCATAGATGGCCTCGTTGTCTACCATGAAAGCACAGTCTGAGTGCTCCAAGGTAGTGTGAGTGGTCAGGATGGAGTTGTATGGCTCAACAACAGCTGTTGAAATCTGGGGTGCTGGATAGATGGCAAACTCCAGCTTTGACTTTTTGCCATAATCAACTGAGAGACGTTCCATGAGAAGGGAAGAAAATCCAGAGCCAGTACCACCACCAAAGGAGTGGAAGATCAGAAATCCTTGAAGACCAGTACACTGATCTGCCAATTTTCTGATTCTGTCCAGGACAAGGTCGATGAGTTCCTTTCCAACGGTGTAGTGTCCACGAGCATAGTTGTTGGCTGCGTCTTCCTTTCCAGTGATGAGTTGTTCTGGGTGGAACAGCTGTCTGTATGTGCCAGTTCTGACTTCATCTGAAAGGAAAGCAAGTAGGAAATAAGTTTTACAGACCAAGTAGCTTGGTAAAAATACTTAAAATCCAGTCACAACTCGATGAAATGAGATTTGATTCATGAGAAGTCGAATCTTTCGCTGAAGTCGAATCTTCTGAAGTCGAATCTTTTGTTGAAGCAGATAGAACAGGCAACACCTACCTACAACTGTGGGTTCGAGATCGACAAAGACAGCCCTGGGTACGTGTTTTCCAGCACCAGTTTCGCTGAAGAAAGTGTTGAAGGAATCATCACCACCTCCAATGGTCTTGTCACTTGGCATTTGTCCATCAGGCTGAATACCGTGTTCCAAGCAGTACAATTCCCAGCATGCATTACCAATCTGTACACCGGCTTGACCAACGTGGATAGAAATACATTCACGCTTTAAAAGAAAAACATATGAAAAGTGAATAATCGTCGTATACCTGATTTGTCTTTGATTTCGGAACACTGTGTACACCATGGGATTCAAGCTCCGAAAAAATGACTGAAACTCTGCTCGGCACAAAAAGTTAAAGGATTTGAAACGATAGGAAACTCAGGACATGGAAAACTCAAAAACTCAAACTCGAAACTGGAAACATACGAAGCGTTCTTTGTAGTCAATGGGCAAATTCGAGCGTTAAAATGATCGAGAAAATGGCTTCAACAATTCACATCAGGAATACCTTGTGGATGAAACAATAATTCATAGAACCATGAAGCGACGCCTTTAGGCCAAGGTGAAAAGCGCGCCACCAGATTGTAGTACAGCGCAGTTTAATTGATATGAAGTTACCAGCTAAAAAGCTAATTGTTGATAATCTGTAAATGCAAACTTACCATGTTGACTGTAGATGTTTCTTCACGAGGAAAATTTACAAACTTTTATAGCTAAGAGCTCTTTCTTACGACGTGTTACGTGTCGAGGTCCGAAAGAACGATGCAATAAATTCTTTCCACGGGCTTTTCAGTTTTATCCAAAATGCGGCTTAACCATCCATAAAACCTTACAGTTGATTGGTCAATGTCGATCAGAGCATTGTCTTGGATTCTTGAAAAATGAATATATCCATGGCTACCTTGAATTTATCAATTTTAATTGGTTAATTTTAAACATAGGCTTCGAGGGGGGTTTTTCAAATTGGTTGTCAAAGCACGAAAAAACAGCAACCGCCCATCCTCGAAAGCTCAAAATAGAAATGACGACATTCTATTGTGTCGAAAGATTTGCGTTGCGTAGCAATTCCCTGGCTGTTTTGGAGAAGTATTTTATTTATGGTAACGCCATGGGAACATTTCCCTTAATCCATTCCCAGGATGAAAACATACAAGAAGAATTATTTATTCCGTAAGTTCTGTTTTGAGAAAATTTGTCTGGGCGAGGAAATATTTAAAAAAATGGACGATGAAAATGTATTAAATTAAGAAATTTCGAAAGTGAACTTTTTTGGAACAAAGGCTGATTTCCACAGGTTAAGAAAAGGATCACTGGCGATATCTCTACTTTTATAGGCAGAGGACCGTATAGGAACCAGATTATTGTTAACGAATTGAATATCAAACTATAATACACACAACTAAGTTGTATTAAAAAAAAATACACACAACTATGATTGTGTGAATTAACAGCGAGATTTAACTGAAAATTATCTACATCTAAAAAATGAATCTGATGAGCTAAAACTATGAATTTAGCAAATGCTTTTACTACTTTCTAGCTACAAAGTCTTGAGATGAGCTAGACCTCCACTAGCAATTTGAAAATAATACTTTTATGATTTAAAGAATCATTGTTTGCTTGCATATTGCTAGAAAAATCATATCCTACTGGTGGTTGCTCTTATTACCATACATAACAAAATACATACATCAGGTGAGCAAAAGTATTGCACCCATGGTATTGTATATATTTCAATGCTGCAATAAAATTATAACGAACTGTAAGCAAAACCCCTACACGAAACTACTTTGGAAATGAAGTGATATGTATTAAGTAAAGAGAAGACCCTTAGACCAACTTGAAGGTGATATCAAATTAAATGCACAGAGAAACAAAAAGGGTGAGGGTAGATGTATAAATATTTTCTGTTAAATTTATAAAAAAACATTTAACTTGGCAACAAAAAGCTTTAAACATTGTCATACCAGAGCCAATCAATATCAATGATGTAAACATTAATCAGACAAAAGTTTCTTCAAGGATTGTTCAACTTGACCAACAAGAGCTGGAAATCCTGAATCCAATAAACAACTTCGAACAACAGAATCAAGTTCTTCATCTGAAAACTTACTGCTTGATTTGTAGCAGTCAGGAAAACCATCAAGTGAGTTTTTCATAACTGACTGAAAAAGAAAAAGGTATCAAAAGTTTGAGTGCTATAATTTGCATGTTCTTGCTACCTATACTTTGGACAAGCATCCACCATATTGTTTACTGCCTCAAATTATATCTACTTTTAAATTTTAAACATGTAAATTAGAAATATTTATTCATCTAAGCTATTTAAACTTTTAACCTTTACTTATGAGTTAATTTACAGGTCCACACCAGCAAAAGCTGCCATTTAGATGACCTGCATTGTTAAATAAATAATGTGTGTATAAATAAAAGTAATCATTATGCATGGATAGAATAAAAAACAAATTCATATTTTGTTTGGATAAGAACTTTTGTAGATAAGAACTTCCTCCCACATTTTCCAAAAAAGTTTGGGAAATTCTTTGCTTACTTACATTTATATTGAAGGTGAAAAGTTGTGATTAAGATTAAAGTTAAGTTAGCCCCCTCCAAAATTCTGATTGAGAATGATGGTGGTAGATTTTTGGTAGATGTTGAAGATTGTAATAGACATAACAGTTCCAACAATTGTTATGTTGTGGACAGATTTTCCATGAAACCACTTTGATAAAATTCCAATGAAGATTTGTTTGTTTTGAAATTTTTTAGTCAAACAAAGGTCTGAAAAAATTGTATGCAGAAAAATTTCTTAGAAAACCTACATTGGAAACCTAATAACCTTTCTTTTCTGAAACAAAGTTTTTTCAGTTTGTTGTAATGACGGAAGGGCACCACCGGGAGTGAAGCCAGCAGCTTAGGTTTACTAAACACAGGAAAACTCACCAGGTCCAGACTGAGGACTGACATGGGTGGTGGTGCATGGCTGTTCTCGGTTGGTGGAGTGAATTGTCTGGTTAATTCCGTTAACAAATGAGACCTTATCCTGCTAAATAGTCACACAAATCATGATTTGTGGTTGACTTCTTAGAGGGACTGTTGGTGTTCACCATCGTAAGGAAGGCAATAATAGGTCTGTGATGCCCTTAGATATTCTGGGCCGCACATGCATGCTACCCTGATAATGTCAACAACAACATTATGAAATCAGGCTGAAAGGTTCCTATATAATTATTTGAATTATTTGGCAAATTTCACATAAACAAAAATGACTCATTGCTTATGCAGTTTGTGAAATTGAAGTTATATAATTCCTAAATCATTGTGGTAAAATTTTCTTTCCTTTCATTGCTAAAAAAGTTTAAATGGAGTTTCATTTTGTTAAAGTTCGAGATGTTGAAGGGAAATGACTGGAACTCCTTTTGACTTTAAATTGTTTGCAAGCAGATAATACATTGAAACAACTCTATTAGAAATATTACACAATTTTTTATGGAGATTGGTGCCACCGTACTAGAAGGCATTTTAGAACTTGTTCCAAAGTCAGGGTCAAAAAGTTCACAAATAATGGAGCAAATTATCAACTATGTTAGGTTTTAGCTTCTTATTTGGGAAAGTATCTTATATTTTTGTAACTGCTTAAACACATAAAGCTAGAAAATAAAATATCAATGTCTCCTTGTTCACTTATTTGTGCATCCTTTAGAAAAAAAGGAAATTTAAGACCAATAACCTCAGCTAGCTGACGTATGGATTTTGTTGAAAATATTTTTGCCTCTTGAATTGGTATTTCCATCGCATGCTCATCTTTACTTGTCTTGTTTGGTGGCGCATAATCATATTCAAATGACAGATTGAGTTGGCTTTGTGACTCCTCATGCAACAAGGACTGACTTGCCTGTTGGCTGTTAACATAATTATTTTGTGATTCTATCTCTTTCAAATTTATGTGGTTTGATACTTTCTTAACAAAGTCTTGGCAGTTTTCCCTCTCTGAAAACTTTGAGTCTTTGGCAAACTTGATCCTGAAGCGTCTAGCACCCTCCTGTAATTAAGATTGCTTGGTAATAAGAAAGCTAATAACCAATAATAAAAGTGATAACAGCATGGAGCACATTTGATAGCTTCACTTGATTTTAATTTTAAAATAATTGCTCACAAATTTAAGATATCAAAAGCTGTCATACATACATACATATAATTATATGTGGTATTTTTTTTGCAAGTTACGCTAAAGTCAGCTTATGCTGATGTGGACCTGCATATGCTTCTAATCAATGAAAGGTTTACCTGAAAATATAGAGAATGCCAAGTACCAACATGACTGATTTGATTGCTACATTACATAACACACATGGTGAATTAGATCAAAACATTCTCACAATTCTTGACAATTTCTGCAAAAATGTAAAAACAGTGTATCATAATGAATACTGACAAAATTATGAGTAATGGAAAAATTGTTCAGATCTAATATAAAATAACAACCAAACCTTTATTTTCATGAAAAATAGCATGCTGTCTCCTCTTACAATAGCTTTCAAAGATGGTTCTTCAGTCATTCCATACAAAGGGACAGACTCCTGGAATATCATGGAAATTGAACTATAAATAGTTAAACATTCTATAAAAAAGGAACTTGAAATTCTTCAAAATACAAACATATGTTACTTCAATTTACTCGAAAATAAAACTATGATATACACTTTGTTATGCTATGATATAGTTCAAATTGCAGGTATATTGTAAAAACAATGTATAAGCATTAGCTGCATTCATAATATAAGATTTGAGGAAATGTATTTTAAGTTTTTTTTCAAATTAACTAAAACAAGAAACAATCTTATTTATTTGTATTTGTTTCTACCTAGCATCGGAAGGTAGTTTTTAGGAAACTGAGAAGCTTATGCTTATCGAGCAGTGTCCTGGTCCTTCCTATCGATGTGACCACACCATGCGATTCCTACCCTAGGAATTACAGAGAGCTGGTGACTCTCCTCACTCTGGGTGAAAGTTTGGTCATGCCAGGGACTTGAACCCCAAAGCCTTGGGTCTGTAGTCAGTGCCCCTAACAACTGAGCCATCCTCACATTTAGCCATCAAATTCCATGTAAAGCTAGGTTCAGCTAGTAACCAGTTGTAAGAAAATCTAATTATTGTATCACAGAACAGAAATAAGCATATCAGATCAGCAAAGCAGCATCAGAAAGCTGAAAGCCATGCTGTATGTTTCATGAAACCTTGACACACAGATTATATTTTATGTTGTTTTGTTACTTTTTGACATGAAACAAAAAGGAAATTAAATTAAACAAAAAAGAAGTTACATTTTGATAAGAAAAAGAAAGCCCCATTTCAAATATGCCTTATTTTCCCCAGGGAACAGTGCACTTCACCAATTGGCCACATCCTAATATCAGGTGTAAATGAAGGAAAAGGTACAGCTTGTATGTGGGATTTTATAGGGCACATAGAATAAAGAAGCAGAATGATTTGAGTCAAGCAACATTACTGTCATGGACTTTATCAATGCAGTGCCAAATATGAAGAACTTTGTTTTACATTATTCAGGCCTATTGCTAACTTTGATACAAGTAGTTTTCTACTTATCAGGTGACTTCAACAAGTGACTATTATCATCTAAGCAAGATTGTCTTGAACAATGAAGATCATTTCTCACTGTATGTTAATCAGAATGCAATACAATATTTAGTTACTATAAATTGAAAATCCAAGTACCAAATATTAATCATAATAAAATGTGTCAAACTCAACAATATTTTTTACCAGGACAATTGAGCTTCCAGAAGTTATGACCAATTTTAGTGGCTTCACAAGTGAAATCTTCATTTCATTTCCACCTCCATAACTTGTAAAATACTAAAAAGAAAACTGTTGCTAATAAACTTAAAGCATGATTGTGCCATCAACAAAAATGAAATATGAAATAAGATTTGTTGGGGGTTTTTCAGAAAATACTAGTTAGCTTAATAATCCAAGTATCAGAATCCTTAGAAGTAAAATAAGATGGAAATCCCAAGAACAGTTAAAATCCTGCCTATGGAATAAAAAAATTCACACTCAACAAGTTGGTTACAAACAGACAAAAGTATCAATAGGTAGAGAATAAATATTGTTTACCTATCTATGCTGCCATATGCCCTATTTGGTGTATGGAACAGGGTGGTTCTAAGTTGCTACCAGGGGTGGATCTAGACCGGGTTGATAAGTTTAAAAAACCATTATTATCAGCTCCCTTAACCTTATCAACATTAATCATTATCATTATGCATCTTTCATCGCTCCACCTCTGGCACGAAATTTGCACTTCACAGATATACCAACAAAATTACATCTTGATTGCAAAAACAATGTGACTTTTTATGAAGCAATTGAGTTATTGACGGTGCTGTTTGTGTCAAAGTGCTCACTTTCAATGCAGCCAATCAGCATTGCCAAATGTATGTTTGAAATTCAAAAGAGTTTTCCAGGTTGCGTAGCAGAAGAAAATCTTAACCTGGTCGCCCATTCATTTTAAGCCATTTTTTAGCCTTCAAAACAGTCAAAAACTGCTCAAGATTGCAGAATATGAAAAAGCTCCAAGCAGCTTCTAAAGGTTTTCCTGAGTTCTGACTGGGTTGTGCAAAGTAGATCTGAATTGTCCAATGGAATCAAATGGTCTCCCTTTGCATTTTAGTGCATAGGAAAAAGTCGCTAGAGTATATGGGGAAAAGAAAGATAATTTTTTTAAAGAAATAATAAATGAAGCAAAAAATGTTGAAATCAAAGCAACATAGGCCTAGACTTGCATTGTTTTCAGGGGGGGGGCTAAAAAATTAATGACAATTTCTAATGGCAGCTGCTGGAGTCACAGGATAGAAAATGGATTAGCTGAGGGCTTAAAGGTGACTTTTTCGTGCATTTTTCATTATCGAGGAAGAAGAAACACACATGAGATGATGGAAAGTTTATCTTTAAATCATAATCAGTTTCTTTAGGTTGAGATCATCAGTTCTATTTAGGCACCCGAAATGTTTATGCGTGGAACCAATAATATAACAAACTAATCTAAAAGTTGATGAAGCACTTCCTTATTTTCCAGGGGGGGGCTTAGCCCCTCGGTTTTCCTCAGGATAGGCTCAAACCCCAGAGCCCCCCTAAGTTTACGCCTATGCAAAGGAAGGTTGCTGAAGACTAAAAGAGACCCACAAGGGAACAGAAAAAAACCAACAGAAAATAATTTAGGAGGGGCTAATTTTTTTATCACAATATTGAATATGTTTTTGAAAAGTCATCAGTTACCTAAACTAAGCGAAATATCTGTAGACAAACTTTCTTATTTTGTAAATAGATATAGATTAAACTGAACTCTGAACTTTAACAAAGGGGACTGAGCCCCCAGAGCCCCTTCAAGACACCCCCGAAATTCCTTTGTTGGCAGGCAATACAAAATTTGCTTTCAAAATCTGCTATACAAACTTTGCTGATGAGTGTAGGTGTTTTCGGGGGATAAGAGACCTAAGAATGTATTGGACTATCTCAGGGGCAAAATATGGCTCCTAATAAAATGCTTTCAAATATAACCGGGCGGTCATAAATTTCTCTCTGGACCCGCACCTGGCCTGGCTGGCTACTCCGAGTTTCACGCTTAAATGCATCAAGAAACAGCTGAAATTAAAAAAAAATTAATAACCTTCCACTCTCCGCTCCCTGGTTTCGTTGATGGAATAAATCTTGCATATTTCTCAATATTCCAACTTCTGCCAAAATCGTTATCGATTTTAGTCGCCATTTTTTTCCAAAAAGATTTCGCGGGAAATATTCAATTTTCACCTTATTGTAACCCTGTGACTAACCTGTGTCATGAATGGTTCATACCTTGGAAACCTCAAGGGTTTTTCCAACGTTTTAGAAAGGGTGGTATTACAATTTTCAGCACACAGAAAAATACGTATTATAAGAGACAGCCCTCTGAAAAATCTTGTGTTTGCACACGCCACACTCTGCAGGCAGGCCTGGGATTTACAACAGGGACGCCGGGGAATGGCGCGCGGGGGGTTAATCACCACCTTGCCTTTTGATAGGAGAGGCAAGAGGGGCCGAAATAATTTCCTTTCATAAAAGCGCCCTTAAAAGTGACCCATTGTAATTATCAGAGAGATTCATAAGGAATTCTGATTGTAGTGCTTAATTCACGACGTCATTTCTCAAAATGTGGTAAATAATTCCTTATGCCAAAAGTTACCCAATGTTCAAGATACCTACAGAAGATCGAAAAAAGCAGTTACGAAGAGCAGTTAGTAGAAGCTGGGAATTATTTTTTAAATGCCCTTTTACTCAAGCCTGCCCCCATTGCCCCTTGGTCATTCCAGCGTCCTTGACTTACAAGTAGAGGATGCAATTTATGGTAGCAGATTGTAAGAGATCATGTATTTGAGTTTTTAATAATTGGTTTTGACCAAGGAGCCAATGACAGGAAAGATGATTTTATTCAATTCTTTTTGACAAAAATTTCATAGCAATATAGCAATGTGCTTCTTCAATGATTTGCTAAACAAGTATATACAATCATTAAATGCAACTTAATTCAACAGTAGTCATATCTACAATGAGATCTTTAGTTTGACTTGGTTTAAATTACTTTTATTTCATCAATTTCAGGTTTCCTTTCGATTTGAAATGGCTGGAATTGACCTTATTGGACCTCTTGCCAAAGCACAAAGGGGAAAGTCTCATATTTTTACAGCCACAGATTTCTTATCAAAGTTGACTGAAGACTTTACTGATATCAACCAAATGTGCATCGGAGGTTGTGAAATGTATCCTGCAGATATATATTCGACCTGTCTGACAAAAGAGGAGAATTTGTCAATAATGTAAGTTAAATATATAAAGTTTTATAAAGCATGTATAATATGTAAAACAGAAAGTCATATCTGAAAGCATTTAACACATTCTGGGTTTGGAATTGAATGCTGAAGGGAAATCCTAAGCAGCTCGAGCAAATATAGAACTGAGACGACATTTGCATGCACAGCTGACCTTGGGGGGCTGGGGATGGTGGCTATCACTCCCAAATCTTTGCTTAAGTATGATTGTTAGCTTACCACCATAAATTTTTGTCAATATTTCTAGAACCCCCTTCCCCCCCCCCCCCCCACTCACTCTAGAATGCGCTCCGGAGCCCAAGGCCCCGTTCACACGGGAACGCAATCGTTCCGTTCCGTTCTTTTCCGTTCCGAAAAGCGGAACGCTCAGGGGTTGTGTTCACACGGGAACGCTTCAAACGACTTCGTTCCGTTCCAAAAAGTGGAACGATAAAATAAGTGATACGAAAAGTGGAACGGTACGCAATCGTTCCGTTCCGTTCCCGTGTGAACGCGCAGAACTGGTCCAGAAAATGGAACGATAAGAGTTTTGCCCTTGGCGCATGTGTCTGTGTTGTTGTTGAGGGAAGGAAAAGGTGACAATAATAAACTCAGCGAAGAAAATGGAGGATTTCAAAAACACCATTGTCTGAATCTCGCCCTTAGTCCATTTAAAAGATTCAACACCATTCTGCAAACATTGAAATTCCTTCCTTTTAGGGTTGGCTTCAATTTTCCTACGAGCTTGCTTATTTTCGGGCCCCTTTGTATTCCCCATTTATTCAAATTGTTTAAAAAATTCAGAGATAGCTCAGAGATAAATCGAAATGATGAAATCTATCTCCATTATGGACATGCGCATTAAAAATCATTCGCTTATTTTGGCGCGCAAATTGCAGAACGGAACGATTGCGTTCCCGTCTGAACATAAACAAAAATCGATACGCAATCGTTCCGTTACCGTGTGAACAGTATACCTTTTCGTTCCAGAAACTGGAACAAAAATGGAACGGAACGATTGCGTTCCCGTGTGAACGGGGCCCAAGACTTGCATTCTTATCATGCCAAAACTTAAATACAATCTTTATTGGCATTTTTCCATGATAAACAGAACAATTTAAGCATTTGATTTCTTATCTTCACAATTGCTCTTTTATTCTATTTATACATAATGATTAGTTTTTTATTTCTGGTTAGAAAAATGATGCAAATTTTAATACCGTAAATCCTCAAATTAGCCCCCTAGGGGCTTCCAGAATTTGTTGTTATCCTTAACAAATTTTACGTCTAATTTTTCGAAATAATTTCTTTTTGTGCTTCTAATTAAACACATTTATTTCTGATTTTTTTGTACTTCTCCCTCTCAGAGACTGTGATATTTTATTGAGCTCTCTTTTCGCCTTAAATCTCAGCATTATCAACTTTCTTATATCTTTATTCAAGAAAGGCACATTATTTGCTCTCACTAGCTTTTGCTTCGAAGGGGCATGTTTATAAAGAATAGAAATTAGCGTTTGATTGAAAACATTGTACAACACATTTCCTTTAAGTATTTTAGCTAAATTAAACTGGAGATCCTCGTTGAATTGATAGACAGAAAAGCATTTATAGCATCTGTATGAAGTGATTCCTGTCTCGTATGTATCCGTATTTATACAGCTGTAGTTCTTGTTTGTTAAGATCAAGTCATAGCATTTTTGGCGGATTACTTTTGTAGCATGTTGGCTCTTTCATCAGATTATATAGATCATAATTTTCCATAAAATTTACTATGCTAGAAAAACCAGGTTCCATATTAAAGTCCCGAAATATTGTCATTCGTTCATGGCTTTGTGAATAAAAATCCAATAACTTACCTAATTCATCAACAAAACAGATGTCATTTTGGTTTGGAGGGCGATAGATTCCAATAATTAGTCATTTTTGTTTTTTTTAAATTAACTTCAACGGAAATAGTTTCTATTTATTTGCTGGGTTGAGATTTCTCAATTCTTTAGCTGGAATGTTTTCATTCACATAAAGTAGTAATCCTCCAGGTCCAATTTTTCTGTCAGGTCTAAAGGGCTTCCAAGACCTCTGTAGTCGAGATGTTGGGAAGGAATCATCTATTTTTGTTTCTGAGGTAAGAAAATATCTAATTTTTCGTTTATGATTTCCACAATACTAGAAAGTTAATGACTTTGTTTATTTACTAGAAAGTCTGTATATTTTCAACTTCCTTTACATCATCACGGTCTCCATGGGTTATGAACAAATGATTAACTTTTTGGTTCTTAGGGCATGCAGGCTCAATCATAGTTAAACTTTGTATTACCTTACTCACTTGTCATGTTTGCTGCAGCTGATTAATTATGTTTCTCGCAAGAAGTATGTTCCCTTGTCTGTTTAGATAGAGTCTGCTACCGTTGAAGCTATCAATAGTAATGTTATTTTTGTTTATAAAATCAAGTTTGCATTTTTGGCATAACTGGTAGAGGTCATCGTTCATGATTTAAATATCCTTGTTCGTTAGATCATTATCTCCTATCTTTTTCACAGAACTGATGCTTATACGTGTACGCTGACTGCTATGTAGGATTTTGTTTATGATTTTCCGGTAGTTGTCTATTGTCTAAGACTTGTTGCAATATTGTTAGTGCCAAAATGTATAATGATTTCATGAGGATTTCTTGTTAAGATAACTTTAACATATTGTATAGCATCTTCGGATGCTGCTCCAGCTATCGAGTGAGTCTTTATAAATTTACTACTTGACATTCTTGACAGTCATTCTTTGGCCTGCTAGGTTTTTTATCTTAGAGTCGCCTATTATGTAGACCAACTCTTTTCTTTTCTATGAGATTGCAATGTTATCGAGTTTGATACACTATGAGATTGAAAGCTGTGTTATTCCGGGTTTAATAAGGTTTTATTTTGATATGATATATGGGTAGATTTGACTTGCTTTTGTGATGTTGCTAAGATTTGGAAACTATTTGAGTTTGCTATACACTCTCCTCGCAAAAGTATTGCACCACCTTAAAGCAAGGCTAAAGCACAAGAATTATCGGAAGCTTTGTTGTGCGAATTGATTGTTGTGCGATGTTTTAAGTTGCGAATGGGAGTGGGTCGGAAGTGAAACAACCACCAATCGAAACTTCAATCTTTGAAGAGCACTCTTTTAAAGAATAACAGTAAGAAAGGCCTGTTTACATTTTCAACGATGTGCAAATCTTGACTTGATGGACGCCATTGAAAACCTGAATTCTTTTTGTTTGAAAGTAAATCGTTGTAAAAATGGTTTCCTTTTACTCGGGTAACTTTTTATTTTGTATTTATTTTGCTTTGAATGTAGTTGAAAGGCCAAAGTTTGTAGTAGGCCAAAGGTCTGTAAGAGATCGTTTCACAAAATTGGAGAAGGATTACAAAAAGACAATGACAATAGAAGAAGAGAGATCAAGTGGGATAGCTCCAGATGGGCCTTCAGAGCTTGATCAGCTTTGGAGAAAACGGTCGAACGGTCAGCTGTAGCTGATTAAAGAATCGCAAAGGGAATGGACAAAGAAAAGGTTACAGCTGAAAATGTTAGAAGAAGGGCAATGGAAAGCCTTTCCGAGACAAGAGACAGGGAGGAGTTGGAAGGCAGCAAAAAGAGAAAAAGAACTAAGAATGGAACAGTGGATATTTAACAGAAAAATCGGTTGCGCAGAAGGAGATAAAATTAGGAGGCAATTAAACCACTTTTTTAAACAAATGTTACATGTTGGATTAAACGTGCTTAAATCTTTTCCAAAGAGTTTAAAAGATGAGCTGATTTATTCCTTACTACTCAAGTTTGTTAAGTAACAGCTGTAATTTCAAATAACATATGGATCTTTATGTTTCTAACCTCTTTTTGCTTTGTTTAAGACACTGTTTGTTGATATATTTTTTGAAATGATTACATAACTTTGCTTATCTACATCTGAATATAGACAGAAGCCTTCAAAAGTCGTGTGTGCTAAGAAATATCATACTTCTCATACTTCACTGGAAGTATTCTTTTAAAATTAAAAATTAAAAGTTAAAAATTTTTAAAAAATTAAAAAAATAATTTTTAAAAAAATAATGAGAGCTGCGGAGGCGAAGGAGAGAGAAGGATTTTCTTCTTTTCTCTTCTCTCTCCTTCACTCAAATTTGAAATAAGTAATAATATCCCCCAAACACCCACTCAACTGAAATTCGAACTTGGCTCATCTACTCATTAAATGCAAGTTGATCCTGAGTGAGATCTGGTCTTCTTTGGAAGGGACATTGAAAGTGAACCCTATGGGGGTATGCAGGGTCCCCAGAAAGACAAAGTGGCTCCCCTTCAGGCGAATGAGAATGCTGATCTCTAACTGATCCAGGTGACCAGACATTTGCAACATTGCACTGTCATGCCTTCTGCCTGCAACAGGGCAAAAAGGATTGGCAATTATTCCATTTGGGCACACAACAGACTGAAACTTTATGGCATGTACCCTTTTGTGACCATTGTAGACAGCTCTTTGGCTTTGGTTTGGTCTACAAA